GTGAAATGTCTGTATATAATCTTATAAATATGTGGGGGTCAGAAACATTTTTGTTATTTTTAACTCTTCACTCAAATTTATGGTGGCAGATGGCTAAAAATAATTTCCCTAGAAAAATTTTCAACTTCCAAGAAAGTAGTTTATGAACTTATTATCAGCTGAAATTATTTTTCAGTTTCAGAAATGTAGAATAATTATTATGAACTTTTTAACAGACTTTAATATGTGTTATATGACATACCATGACTATGTGAGGAATTGAAGTTGCTATAATTTAGTTATACCATAAATTTAAATTATCATAATGTAAGTTTGAACATAACAGTTATAGTTTAAATTCAAAGTTTAAATTTAAATTTATGAGACTGATTGTTTTGTTGTGGAATGGAACACTGATTGTTTTAGATTGTTGAGTGAAGGGAACACTTATTATGGAATGGAACACTTATTAAGTGAATGGAACACCTATTGGAGGCACAATAAGTGAAATGAAACACCTATTTGAAGGTAATAACTGAAATGGAATATTGTTGGAATAATTTATTAGTGTTTAAACATGTCAAATAATTTATTACTTTTTAGATGAAGTTGCTATAATTTATTAGTGTATGAAGGCAATAACTGAAATGAAATATTCACTACAAGAAATTGCATTTTTCGCAACGTAACAAAATATGTTGCTAAAAGGGAAAATTCGTTGGCAAAGAGTTTTGCCGACACACAAAGCTATGTTGGCAACCCGTAGGCAAAAGTGAGTTGGCAAAAGTTATTGCCGACAAAATTATGATTGCGTTGGTAAAAGTAATGCCTTTAGCGACGAATATAGTCGTCGCTAAAAGCCTCCATCCATCGTCGGCAATTTACCTTGCGTTGGTAAAAGTCATTCAAATATGATGATTGTGTGGCACTTTTCGCGACACAAATTTGCATGGGCAAAAAATATACTTTTAGCAACAACATATGCGTCGGCAAAAGTAAACTTTTGGCGACACATTTACGTCGGTAAATGTTGCCATTTGCCGACGATTTGTTTGTCGCTAAAGCTTTACTTTTGGCAACGACAAATTGGCATTGGCAAAAAATACACTTCTACCAACACAATATGAGTGGAGAAAAGTAACTTTTAGCTACACATTTACGTCGGTAAATGTTGCCATTTGCCAACGATTTGGTTGTCGATAAAGCTTTAGTTTTGGCAACGACAAATGGGCATTGGCAAAAAATACACTTTTAGCAACACAATATGAGTGGGCAAAAATAAACTTTTAGCTACACATTTACCGACAAGTTATTTGTCGAGAAAACTTCACTTTTTAACGACGACAAATTTGCAACGGGAAAAATAATTCAAACTCATTTATAATTTTTTAAAAGATTTACAAGTTTACAAGAGGCATCCCTCAGGCACCACTATAACAAACTAATAACATGGATATGAAATCATACAAAATACGCCCTCCATACCCCCTCCATACCCTTCCAGCCAAAACACTAGCAGTTGCCCGAACTTACACCTAATGACAACCCCCATTAATGAAAACCTGATCTATTACAGATTGGACAAAAAGTCCTGCACCCTTCCAAACATCAACAACACCAGCAAACATCCAACAACAACACAGCAGCACCTCATCATAACAAACACCATCACAGCAGCATCACCACAGCATCTCAGCAACATCACAGCAGCACTAGAAGAATAGCAGATCAACAAACCGATTCAACACAGATCATTACCAAATCAGAAAACCATTTCAACTCGGCAGTGTAATGAGTAAAAGTGTCACGTGAGTAGAAGTGTCATATGAGTAGAAGTGTTAGTGCTTCTTGCATTAAGGTCTGGTTACTTGTTAGACAGATTTGAATTAGACATAAATTCAGCAAATAGGAAAACAAAAGCATGAAAGGAGTAGCCTACTCCACAAGGGTGGCTTGAGATACACACACAAGTCAACAGGGAATTTCCACACTGGCTCTTTAATTCCAACTCTAAATTCATAATCAAGCAGGGGCCTCTCTATGTGGACACTAGTAAACCATAATGAGAAATAAACTTTCTAAAAATTACCCCATTTAGAGACTGTAAAATATTCAAAATCTACCAAAATAAGTAATTCTAAACAAGTAATTGGCTGGATTATAGCCCAAGAGAAGTCTACTAACCAACACACAAACTATAGCAAAGAAATCCCTAAAAATAAAATACATCCAGAACATTCTGAAGCTCCTAATAGGGGACTAACAAATTCTAATCAAGAATAAAATGAAGACTCATAAATAAACAAACTTCATACTAACTAGACAAACTTGACATTATTTGCTTGGGATTTGTCCTCTTCTACTTACTGCTTCTGCATCACAATGTCACATATTCATGTGAATAATTGGGGCTTATGTTTTCAATGAAAGAACTAAGATTTCAACTATATTACACTGAAAATCAATTGTGAGAACAAGATGGAAAAATTTGTTACTAGCAACGTGGTCAAGCAAGACGAACTCAACACTGGAAACAGTTTTGAGGCATGAGAGTTAAATAATAGGAAGGCAGTTTTAGCTCCTGAGACATTTACGTAAGATTTTTCTACAAAATTAGACCTCAGAACTTAAATCTGTTTTCTTATGTTGTAGAGCTTTTAAAAATCATTATTGAAAGTCTCAATGTGTCCAAATTCATTGATGAAGAAATGATTACCGAGTGGTGTTCAAGTCTAAAATTTTAGTTTGCATTTAGCAGATGGTTCTCAAGTAAATGTCCTAAATGCTAAATCCACCACAAGAAAGGAAGCATAATTTTAATGGAATTATAAAACTGTAGTTAGCATTTAATTCACCCAAAACCCCCATTGAACTTAACTTCAAAGTCAAGAAGAAAAGAAATTACTCATAATACACTTGAACAACACTAAGAAACTTACAACATGAGAAGACTTACCAAATTTTGAACAAAAGTATTCAGGAGATGTTTGGTTTGATTATCCCTTAGCAACTGGGGAACATGATTCTTGAAAACCTTGTAAAATTGAATCCAACGAAAGGATGTCTAGTAGCAAGGTAACACAGTATCTGCTTAAGAAAACGCTAGCAAATTCCAGGAATGTCATGAAAAAAAAAACTAACTACGGCATTTACATATACCAACACCAACCACCGAAACCTTGAATACCTATTGAGTTAGTATAAGAATGCACAGATCTTTGAAAGTAAACAGATGTTCCCATGTATGTGTATACATGTAAGCACATAACAAGAAGGGCTTTCAGTGTTCAATAAATTTTGCAGCTAAATTCTTTAAAGGCATGGGTTCTATAAAATCAGTTCATTGTCAGAAACAGAACGTGCCAATCAGTGCCATGGTCTCAACTGGTGCCCATGGTGCAAATCAGATTATTAGCAGTCTCATCTATCAAGGTTGTGTCTGATCTAGAATTGGCAATTTCAGATCAGAATGCTTATAAGGAATGCTTCAGGATTAGAAATATTTAAATTTTAAACACACAACATAGTCCTCAATAAAGAATTGTGAACAATAATTTACCATGAATTTCCAGCAGCATTAGAAATAATGTCATAAATTATCCATGGATGAATACCAGCTTGGGCACCAAGAGAAATGGCCTCCACAGAAGAAACAAAATGAATGCCCTCAAGCAGCTCTATTACCATTTTAATTTTGCTGCAATTTAAAAAAGAAAAGTAGACATTAACAATAACATCATCTAATATGATATTAGAACACCTAACATAAATAAACAAAGAAGAAGGGCCATTCCCCTGTGCCAATCCCTGTTAAATTGGGTTAAACACCTAGCACAAAAAAATTTACTATCAAGTGGCACAACCAAGACACAATTAAATTATCATTTGAAAAGTATTGTTTAGAGATATGAAATTACTTAAATTTGTATTGGAATATTCAAGAATCATTTAGTTGTAAGTTTATAGTAAATTAGATTTGACTTTGTTTACACAATCACTAGTGTAATATTAGGTCAGGTGTTGTTTTTTGCGCAAAGCCATTAGTTTTTTTTTTAACCAAATTTTAATTCCACTTTTTGTTTCCGATATTTACATGTTATCAAAGCCATATCACTACTAAGAAGCAGCCTATCAGTTCTTGTATTCCTATCAAGTAAAAAAAATCTCCTATGGTTTCCTGGTGCTGTCTTGTGAATTTTCTAGTCTCCAATGGTTCAATAGCTACATGCTGAATATTGTTATAATTTAGCAATAAAAAGAGACAAAATGCTATATATTAGCAATGTTGCTCCAATGATGACTTTGCTCCCTCCATTTATTCTCCCATTTCAACTATCATTTCAAAATAACAAGTACATGCTACTTAATCAAACTTTATTAACTTAATTTAGAGTTACATACTGCAAAATAAAATAACATAAGACATAATCATGGAAGAAGAAGAACATAATAATCTGAGTTGCTTGATCATGCCAAAATTTTTGTGCCTGATCGTTCATTTAGAGGTATCTCAAGTCAGCTCTTGTGAAATGGATCCTGTGCTCTAACCATGATCACTTAAAATTGAAAGCATTTAGTGATGCAAACTGGGTTGGTTCAGTCGATGATAGACAAAATGCAAACATATGTGTGTATAAGAAGAGAACATGTGCCTACTTTTGGTGTCTCTCATTAGCCTTTTCTTGTATTTATCTCTCTTCTCTCTATCTCTCTCTGTCTCTCTGTCTCTCTCTCTCTCTCTCTCTCTCTCTCTCTCTCTCTCTCTTCTTGTCTTCATCTTTTACCCTAAATTTAATTGTCACCAATTTTATATGAAAATTTGTCTCAACAACACAATTCAAATTGTTCTAAAATCTAAACATGACAAAGAAATTGGTAAGATTGTGAAGAAATCCCACCTTCCAGCACCAAGTGCCCCCTCAAAAACATAAAGTTTCTCACTCATAGCTGTTTGAAAAGCACAATAGTTTGTCTTAGAGATGAAATAGAAAATTTAAAAGTAGTGATCAAAAATTGAATCCTCATGCAAGTGTTGCAGAGTAGTGACATAAGTAGATTGTACCAGAGAGAACAGGGCGTGCCCTTGTAATGGCATCCGACTGTCCTGATGAAATAATCTGCGTATTATAGAAATATCAGCTTCAGCCAGCTATAAAATAGCAAAACAAAAGCAAAATGATCCTCTACTTATGTGAGGAAGAAATAGGATATGAGATATATAATCTTACCATTATTTTGCCATTCAAAACCTCTGACATTCCCTTAGAGACATATATATCAACTACAAAAACTCTCTCCAAATCCTCTGCTAGAGTAGAAACAGATTAATGATTAGAGGAGTTAGAAAATGTTCAATGCAGATGTAAGTTTAGCACAAGCTGAGCAAACACCAAATTCTTTCTTTTGCTTTTCCATTAAGTTAGATGTAACCAGTAACTAGTAAACTTCTAGGGCATGTTTGATTGGGTGGATTAGAGCATGGGATTGGGATTATTAATCCATGGGCCCAATTATCCTATGTTTGTTTTAACATTTTGGTTTAGGATTATTAATCCAATGGATAATTAATCCAACAAATTTGTAGGATTATTAGTAATGGGGTAGGGGTGGGATTATTAATCCAATAGATATTAATCCAATTGGATAGTGAATACCACACTAATTTAATAGGATTATTAATACTTCACTATTAGTCTTGTGAATCAAACATAACCCTAAGGCATAAATTTGGTATAACAGTAAAGAACACATTATTATTGAATGTTCTACTCTTTTCTCTTTTCTTTTCTTTTTTTCTTTTTTGCTTTTTTTGATAAGTAAATAAAGTATAGATTCATAGAACACAAAGGGTCATCACCCCTGTACATTAGAGATTTGCAGACAAAAGAACAAAAAACAAAACAAAAAAAAGAAAGATAGACATTAAACCTTCCCCAAAATATAAACAAAAAAAGAAAAAATAAAATGATTTAACTATGAACTTTCTCCCTTGTCCTTTCATTTCAACTCACCTCCCCTGCCCTCATTAACCTTCATATCAATAATGGAGGGCATGATCCACTAGGCAGAGTTAAAAAGTTGCTAAAGCTCTATAATCTCATTAATGGAAAAATAAAGATAAGAACAACTATGGCCGTCTATGATAAATCTAGAGTAAAAATGATAAAACAGAAAAAAAGAAAAGAAAGAGTATCATAACACACTGTTGAGCTGCCGATAAATCTAAAACTAAATAGCACAAAACTACGAGGACATCCACCAACAAACCAGACAGAACAGAAAAGTTAACCAAGAGTATAAAAGAAAATTCTATACAAATATTTTTTTTATCTAGAGAAAATAAATTGCCTGTGAGTCGCTTCTCGAGCTTCTGTATATGAGCAGGTAGTATGGTTGAATGGAGAATGATGACAGCATCTTTGCGTGACCCTGCAAAACCAGAAAATAGTATATTCTGAACATCAACCAAGCAGACTAATTATAAATTCAGAAAACATTAAGGATCTCCACAAAACCTTTTAAAGCACTCTCATGACCAAAAAGTAGGTCATTTATTTGATCTGCATGAGATATCAATACAACCAAAGCTACAACATCTGCATGCAAAGAAATGAGAGAAGGAAGCATCAGAAAGTCAATTTTTAGCTCTTCAAAAAAATAAGGTCGCAATTTATAGAGAAAATAAAAGAAGAACATATTCAGTCAACTATGATCCAAAAGTATATATATATCATTGTTTTTAGGTGTTTCTTAGGTAGCTAAATGTATTGAGTTTTTGGTGCCTTCTAAGTTTTTAGGTGTTTCTTTAGGTAGCTAAATATACTATTCGAAGTCATTTTGAACCCTTAAATTCCTTTTACCAATCAAAGTCATTTAACCCCTTATCTCCCTTCATACCAATCAAAGTTTATTAATTACAATTAGAGTGCTTTTGGAATCAAAGTCAAAGTCATTGCTTTTGGAATAAAAAATTCAAAGTCATTCAAACACACAGCAAAATTCATTGCTTTTGGAATAAAAAATTCAATCGCGAAATGCCCTGAATTCAATCGTGAACAAATTCAATGAACAAACAGAGAGATGGGAAATGAAGACAGACCTCAAAGGCTTGTACGGCATAGCCAGAGCGAAGGAGTGAGGAGGCCAATTGCAAGCTCAGTTAGTCCAAGCCAACGAACCCAATTACACTCTGAGACGCCATTGGAGCGAGTTCAAAGGACATTTATAAAGGTTAGATTTCCTCCATCAAAAGAAATTCCCAATGCACAATAAAGTATTCCCAAGTAAAACTCCATGTCACATAAAATGGGAGTAACAGATAACCTTTGAACTTATATATTGTTCTCTATTTTTCTTTTTCTTTTTCTTTTTCTTTTTATATTATCTTTTTCACACTCACACACAACTACTCACTCACTCATTGGTGTGCAATAATGTGAGATCTCTTTTGTACATCATTTTGTTAGTAGTTACCACTAACCAATAAAGAAAATGGAAGATTTTTTTTGTCTCCATGCCATGATTGGTTGAGCTCTACCATGGAGTTTATATCCAATCAAGAACAACCAAAGAAAGCAAAAACAAAACCACAAAACAGCAGCAGATAGTATCATACATCAATTGTTAAAGGACACCCAAATGAAACTTTGCAAATTCAATAAATGAGTTCACCCCATCTACATATGGCTGGCTGAATCTATCAAAAATTAACATCCAACTCCTGTCCATGTCTGATCATAAGATTGTAGTTAATATCAATAGGACACAACCTTTTATTTTTTATTGTTTTATTCTCTAAACATGAAGACAAAGTAGTTAATATAAGTGTAGAGTGACACATCATCGTCAATAAAGGTGCATCTACCTATAGGCTTTTTTAATTTTGTATCAAGGTTTCGACCAACAAATCCTTTAAAGTTCTATTATATTGCATATATTATGTATTAAGTTAAGTGTTTTTTACATTTATCAACAAAAAAACAAGAAAATATATATTTTTTTAATGTCTGTTAAATGGTAAAAGGCAGTTCGCATGGCAATGTACCATTCCAATTCATTCCAATATCTTTCTTAAAGGACATTACCTAATGGGCTCCTACAAATTAAGGGCATAGGGAAGGACTAAGGGTGGCTACAGGCCTAACCTCTGTAATATTTGTGGGAAGGGACTACATTTTTCAATTCCAACTCATATTTTCATACACGGGAACTCAAGCATTTACCACTACACCAATCAATACCCCCTCTTTGATGAAACTTCTATGTTTATCTAAAAGGGATTTTCAGCTCTCCTAAAAAGCCCTACCACAAATTACATCCAGCCACTGCCTCTAAATTTTCTATTAATGAACCAATTGAAAAGTCGGGAACCAAAGTGACACAAACCTCAAACTATAGAGACCGTTAGTATAATTCGCCCAAGATAAAAAGATCAAAAATAAAAAGTGCACTTTTGTAGTACACCCCAAACACTCTCTTAGCTTAAAAAACCATCTAAAACCCAACTTAAAAAACTAAGCTATTTAAACTTTTTTTGAGCTGAAAAGGGAAATAAGCTGAAAACAAAATAAGTGGAACCAAACACCCTACCATTTTAGGTACAACTACTAACGCATGTGTTTTCAAAATTTAAACAAAATAAGTTGCAAATAAGTGGAAACCAAACAACCTTTTTATATACAACTACCAAAGCATGTGGTCTCAAATTTTAAATTAAGTTGGTTGCAAATTTGAACTACTAAAGCATGTGCTTTCAATTACTACATTGTATTTACGCTTTTATATTCACATTCAAACACGTAAAAAATCATTAAAAAAAAACCCTTAAGCTTTATGGTATAATATCTTATTGCATTCTCTATTTCTAACATTACATTGTCTCCAGAGTGTTCTTATACTGGATACAATAGACCATTTCCTTTGTGAGACAGAATTTCAACTCCTGAATAGGTGCTTCAGTGAGCAAGGCTACATGAAAGAGAATCCCAGTAAGCTTCAGCATGGAAGTGGGTTACTTAAGGTATGACAAATAAGCCACCTCTATGCCCTGGGGGTAAGGATGAAATGTCAAAACTCATAGTAGGGGCACTAACAGGCTCAGAATTGGTGACTTGTATTGGGTTTAAGATGGAACAGATTGTAAAGCCTCTCTTATTCATATGCACTAGTAGAAGTGTTCTTATTTTATTACCTTACATAAATAGTCACTGTGGGTTCTTATTAATATTTGAAGTAAGAGGCCCACTAAGAAGATGAATAAATTCCTGGTGAATGGGCACAGGCATCCTCTCATACAGAGGCAAATCCATGTTCTAACCTAAACGTTTGATGTGGATTCAGGTTAGGTGTTCATTAAAATTTCATATCCTTTTAGTTTTGCATTTCAAAATGATATTGTACTGGACAACCCGTAAAGGCCCCATCTTCCCCAAATCAAGCATGAAATTTGTTTGGAAAAAGCATCCTTTAGAAAACCCCAAAATCTAAATAATAGAAGAAGTGAAAATAGACAAACATAGATTCATTTAAGAAATTGAGAGAGAGAAGCAGGGGCATTGAGATACAAAGCAAAAGGGAACAAACCTGTAATGGGAGACTGAAGCACCGATCTCGCACGGCAGCAGCAAACGGCACAAACCCTACGATCAAGAGTGAAATCGTGAGGGAGAGAGAACTACGAATTCTGAGATAAGGATGTGCAAGAGTGAAATCGTGGAGATTGATTTGGGGAGATATGATGAGGGAAAAAAAAGGAGGGAATTTGAAGAGGGAAATGTCACCGCTGATTTTACCTACTCTACCCAAACAAATAAATAAAATAAAATATTCAAAACAATTTTTAAATTTGTTTTTTTTTTAAAAAAATTAAAAATAATTTCAGAGCAATAAAAATCAAAATTATATTTTTAAAATTTTAAAAAATATTTATGACCTAAAAGATTAAAAAACAAAAACAAAAAAAAATTTAGATTTGTTTTTTTTTTTTTGAAAAAATTATAAATAATTTGAAAGCAATAAAAATCAAATTTATGTTTTTATAATTTTAAAAAGTATTTATGACCTAAAAGATAAAAATATACAAAAATAATAAGTTTTTTTATTTCACCCAATTTTTTTTTTAGTTTTTTAGGGAAAAAAATTTGAAACTAGTTTCTAAAAATAAAAACAAACATATTAAAATTGATAATCTAATCATATTCTTTGAAAAAGTTTAAATTATCTCAAATTAGTCATATCAACTTAAGAATGTGTTTGGGCTCAATGGGTTCATTTTGTGATCTAATTCAATGATTATTTTAATTTTACAATTCAGTAACTAAAATATTTAAAACTCTTTCAAAAATTGTAATAAAAAACACAAATCACTAAATCACATCATTCCACTGGCAAAACTTTTACCGACGAATAGTGTCATCGTCGCTAAAGGTTAACTCTTTGCCCACGCCAACTTGTCGTCGCCAAAAGTAAGCACACTAATAGCAACGCTCATTGTGTTGCTAAAACATAAGCCTCGTAGGTAAAAGTTTTGAAATTTTGGCGCCAACCAAAAAATTTGGCGCTAAAATAATGTTATGCCTTTTTAGCGACAGCAACAAATTGCGTCGATAAAGGTATACTCTTACCAACGAAATTGATCACGTGTCGCCAAAAATATACTTTTGGCGATGAAAAATTGATGTCGTCGCCAAAAGTAGTCGCCAAAAGTGCAATTTCTTGTAGTGATTGCTGGAATAATTTATTAGATAAAGTTGCTATAATTTATTAGTGTTTGAAAACTGGGACTTACCCACAAAACACAAGTCCAATAATCTTATAAAATAATCATTCTGAAATCATTCTATTTGCATTTCATTTTTAAAAGTGGAAGAATGGAGTTGATTTTAATGATGGTGACAATCCTTCAATAAATGAGGGTGAACAAGTTGAAGAACCTAAGAAGGGTAGGTGTTTTAGCTCAAGGGAAGAAGTGTACACATTTTATGCCAAATATGCTAGGCATGTTGGCTTTTCTATAGCTCATAGAGCACAACATTTTGGAGACGATGGACAATTAAAAAACTTTGCAATTGAATGTTCTCAAGCGGATGAGAGAAAAAAGAAATCAAAAGTGAACCCTTTGAAGCCATCTTTGTCCACAAAAATTGGTTACAAAGCAAGGGTACGAGGTAGTCTACAAAAGAATGGGAGATATATGTTAACCTTGAGTATAATCATGATTTGATCCCCACCGACTCTTGTTATTTTGTAATGAATAAGAAAATTCGTACTCTTGCGAAAAGAAGATTAGAAATCAATGATCAAGTAGGGATTGGGGTGTCTAGGAACTACCATTCAATGGTTGTTAAAGTGGGGGGATACGAGGCATTGCCATTTGATAAGCAGGATGCAATGAATTACATTAATAGAGCTAGAAGATTAAGGATTGGTGAAGGTGATGCCGAATCACTTCAAAGTTATTTTATGAGGATGCAAGCACATAGTGAGAGATTCTTTTATGTGATTGATGTTGATGAGGAGTTTCGCATTTGAAACTTGTTTTGGGCTGATGCAAGGAGTCGGGCTACTTATGAATCATTTGGAGATGCTGTTTCATTTGGCACTATTTATCTGACGAACAAATATGACATGCCATTTGCTCTATTTGTA